GCATTTCGAACTGTTGCTATAGGTGACGGCACAGATCGCTCTATTTTCGCCCAAATGCTCAGTAATCATTTTTAATGTCACGTGCAATTCAGGTGTGATAACTGTCGTTAAAACACGATCCCACTAATTTGGAGCAATCCTAAAGTCGGGCTAGTCGATGAATCGCATAATCTCTCGTACAGAGAACTTGAAATCTTTAAAAATAATCTGATAACGGTATCACCGGTAATGATACCTTATAATGACTTACCTAGGTCTTATGCAATAAATATAATGTACACAGCCCATTTCTGGAGCACAGCAGTAATAGTAAATTTAGAGATCACTCCCTGGAACTGACAGAATAGCAGAGCCGCTTGGAATGCCGTAGAAACTTCTTTTCATCCTTAGCATTATCTGAATCAGTCGTCTCCGAGCCGACAAAAGCCATAGGTAAAAGAAGGATGAATGACTCACCATCAAGCATTATCCTTCTGTTCCATTTCTGGAAAAAACCTTGGTTTTATTATCTACTATCTATTTGTGCTGTAAAACAAGCGGGGAGTAGGACCGCTGTATCACAAAGCCCTGACAAAGAACCTGCTGGTTTCTTGCCAGGAAAAATACAAACAATTTTCTATTTTTGCTTTTATGTGAACTGTCACAACACTACCAGACGGGGCTTGTAAAACGCATGTTTCTTAGAGCGCAATTAATCATTTTTCCAGGCAACTGATGACGGACATCAGTGTTACCAATTCGATACGTCCACTCGGCATGGACATTACTTTGCAGGAATACACGGTCAAACGCAATTAGTCTCTTAACGAGTGTAGAGTTGGTCATAGTATTTGTTTATGCAGTAATACCGATCACACGGCAGCGCTGTAAATCATTCTCTCCATCGACAGGCATTCATTGCGCCGCCTCCACGAGTGTGAATGAAACTTTGCAGAGCCCTACTAACTACTGTAATGCCTGTGGTGGCTCCTTATTTGATGCAACCACGGGAGTTACAGACAAATCAGTCACTCCAAGTGGTTGCTCTATGATTGCATAAATAGGTGGTAGGGAAGTGCAATTCGGTTAATGTACTTTGGGCCTTGTAGACACAAAGCACACGCCGAAGAGAACTGTATCGTGAGTCACAACCTAGTCGATGGTACTCGCATAGTAACTGGGTCGGATCCAATTGGGTTTATGTCACCCGTATACTCAAAGTTGGAAAGTAAGTTACGAAACAGATACCTTAGCCCAGAAGTAGTGGAAGAGGAAAAGACTATGTCACGTGATATCCTTTCGATCACAAAGCTGAAAAATAAGGGGTTGGATAACCATGACATGTTTCATATACTATGGTGGACTCAATGGAACCTCTGTTGTGCACAACACAGGCAGCCGTGATAAAGAGTTTATAGTAAGGGGTAGAATTTTTCAACCTGCCTCTCAAACCAGACATCAAGGTAAGCGTGATCGACAAAATCAGCTACCTTAGCTTCATGGAAGGCAACAACAATGGGCTGTTTGTACATATGACATACTTCGAGTAGCCGATGAAGTGAAACTATGATCAATATACTAAGTAACGTGGCAGAGGTCAAATAAAATTACTTAAGGGGATACTCGAGCCTCTGAAACTAGCTTTAAGACACTTGATGTGAGAATGAGAGCACAATTAGTTTCACAGAGTACCCTTGGTTTGTTCTAAAGGTTAGAACGATGGCTTATAAGCACTGATCAGGGAGCACTTCCCCATTGCACCTGGGTTTACCTTCTCTCTTATTCTGTTGTGTCGGCCAGGCGACCGCCTCCCCTTATAAACGGTAGTGGGAACGCGATCGAACCAGCAGAAACAAGATTCCGGCTATTATCATAGAAAAACGACATTGTTTATATAGCCTGGGGGCTGACAGACGTATAACTGTAAAAACCAACCAGGGCACTGAAGCGCGCGACTAGACAAGCCAATTAGGATCGAGCAGTTAGAGAACCAATCGGGTGCACACAACGATAGGAAACAGAGGCCGTTGGCATCGGAGTGGGACTGTGATCCGTAAACAAAACAGCAGCTAATAGGGCTAACGAAATGACACGTTAAAATAAGTATCAGTAAACAGGAACAAAAAAGTCGTCAGTTATGAATTTTTGCATAAGCGTCACCGAATACCTGTCACCCGTGCACATAATCCGGCTTCCTCTGTGCTAGTTTCCTTCGGTATACCTGTAAGCAACAAAATTCGCTCAGAAGGTTCGAGTGACGCGTTTCCACCGGGATCAAAGAAACGTCAAGTCCGGGACTGGAGAACGGTACTATTTACAAATGAATAAATGACCATATACAATAAATACCTCAACGATTATGCTTCCAAACTCAGAACAGTTACAATGACAATCGTTTGGTCCGAGTCAACAAGTCCAGCTTCAGAGCGTCCGCTGTACGAAGTCACGGCACTAAGGTACATGGTGTGTTTATAAGACGGGTAAAGCGGTGGGATTAGCTGAGCACGCAAAAGGGATGCGGATTGGGTAAGCCTCAAGGAAATGTGAATTTGGCCTGTTTGAAGCGTTCATCAACTGAGTTACAGATGCACATACACAAAGGAAGGAAGGGTCAGACATGCATGATCGGTGGGGACAAAAGTTCGACAGACAGACACAATCGGTGAGGAGTGAAGGTCACCAAACGACCCTAATCGGTGCAGAGCATGGTGTTGACAATCGTAAACAAAATTAGACAAAGATGTAGAGGCAATTTGGGATGGTGGGAATGCGAGGTAATAACGATTTTAAGAAACATAGGACGGAACTAATTGGAGATTGGGTTTCATGAAGAAATGGGGAGGTAGAATCGACTGGTGGGGGTAGGGAATGTGGAGGGGAATGTTCTCTACAACACCTTGGACACCTATACATGGTTGGCAGCATCCGGTTCCGGATTTACATATCACTGCTGTCTCCATAGGACAGTCACAGAACGCCTACGCCTACAGAGGGACCATGGGTGGCTTGTGCTGCACAACCCACAACTCCATCTACACACCCATATTCATTGTAAACCGAAGGAATAAGACCGGGAGGCATGTGGATGGGAGCCACGTTTCATCGACGGAGCCGGGCCACACTCCTTCAACGTGCACAGCAGCAGCATTCATGTCTATCTACGTGTGGAATCATGCGTACCAGACGTAGAAAAGGCAGTGGCTGGGCCGTAGTCCGCTCCACACTGCATGGAACCACTTTTGGAGCCTAATACGGGCATGAGGATCGTGCACCCCGTCTACCCAGTAATGATTCAGTCTCCTGGAGCCAGTAATCGAGATGGGGGTATTAGATAGGTAGGTACCATGTCGAGATTCACATCAAGGACAACCACACCGGGGATATCAAGCAACCAATACAGAGTTTGAAAGAAAATGAATACGCAAAATTAACACCGAATATGCAGGAGTATAAGAGAACTGAATAGATTAAATAAAGAAAACTTCTCATCAAGGTTAAGATGTAGTCTGGGTGTAGCCCTACTGCGGTTGAGAAGTATGATGTATGCGACATCATGCTCAGAATGAATGATGTTTATTAAGATAATCAAGACCAAATGAGTGGTGGGTTAGGGATTCGCTTCGAGTAAACCCTTGCCGGACCTAAATGTTTACAAGGCAGTGGTGATGTATCGAGGTCGTCCCCAGAGCGGTCTGGGGATATCGTTTCGCCTATGCAGAACCAAGCCGGGATGTGCTCGCGAATCCTCTAAGGTAGACTCTTCGCATTGAGACCCAAGTATCATTCACAACAGGACCACTAGTACGGATAAACAAGCAATGAGCGGATCTGATGAGTATTTACTGGAGTAATTATCAACGCGGTACTCATTTGGCCAAGAGTTGATCAATGAAATGGAGATATATGCTTTGCTGAAGATCAGCATTATCTGTGATCTACACAATATGTTGAAGCACCTGATAAAGGGCAAAAATAAAGTAAAGCAGATAGGTATGTTTTTTGGGTGGAAATACAAGTTGATATGATCAAGAGACGAGCACAATGGCGCCCCTGATGTGAGTTCCTTTGGCCCTCCTCTAGCTAGGATCGCACCCTGGTTAGCATCATCCTATAGCGATTATGGGTTCGATCCCCAGTAGGGGAACGAGGGATGCGCACTGCTGATGAGACCCAATAGGGAGAAATGCGTGTCTGGTGTTTTTCCGGATTGGCAGTTGTGCTATGTAGCTTGGGAGCTGCTGGAATAATTACAAAGAAATTACAACTAAAATCCTTGTACTCATAAGTGAAAGAAAAATAAGTATGTGTTGAGAAGACCACCCAATTTGTCTGTGCCTCGCACTGCTGAGGAATAAAACGTTTATTTATTTATAATGTAATTTGCTTTGTTTTCCCTGCTGCTTGAGAGTAGGAGCTTGCACTGCATTGCGTCACAATAGCTGAGAGGTGTCTTATCTCTAGCTAATGTGTAATGACGCCAAACACATACGTACTAGCTCATGAGACACCAAAGCCAGCGAAATGTCGCAGTTTGATGTATATGAGTAGGATGGAGGCAATTGAGAACGCCAGGTGGGAATGACGCATGTAGAAAGCGGACATTGATGATTATATTGCAGTAACCGTTTGAAGAATAAGCAAGAACAGTTATTGTGAATGGACATGCAATTCTCTTGGGTAGAAAGAAAGGATGAAAAGGTGTATACACAGACCGAATTGATGCATGGAAGGAGAAATGCAAGCACACGAAGAAAATGCGTCAGAACCCATAAGTATCTTTGGCGAATAAGAGAACAGACAAATAAATCTTGGTCAAAGATAAAAATTAAGAGAGGATCAGCTCCCTAAATATTGCACGACGAAAAAAATGGTTTGATCCCAAAGAGGAATGGGACAAGCCCAGGGTGTGGAAGCGATTCAGAGTTGCTTTGTAATCAAGGTAGGCACACAATATCTCGGGTGGTGACCAGAACATCGTTAAACTAACCATACAGGACAAGACAATAGGGAATAACGAAAGAATGACATCAGAGGAAGGGCCAAAAATCACGGTGATAAGGAAGCCGATTGCTGTCCACGAAGTCGTTGACCAACACCACGTGTAATCTAGGACGCATAGCTGTATCTCACTTATTCAAAGTTGAAACAGATCTGCAGAAGTGGAAGATTTCGAACGCACTCCTCCGCTGACAGTAGATGAGGTAGTTGCGGAGGGAGCGGTAAACGCTGCACCAGTAGTGGAAACAGAATCAGTCGAATTGACAGCTGTAGGAAGAAGTAGAGTGTGGCGTAAAATCATGTGTGGTAGGCTAGTAAAGAGCACTGAAAAAATCGTGAATACAATGAGGCTCCGTCGCAGCAAAAATGAAGGACAACTAGACATAAGTGGAGTATGAGAAAGTTGAACCAAAAGACAAATCATCAGGTAAATGCAATACTACCCCCAACAGCGTTCGCCTATAGCTGTCCAGATGGCCTTATTCCCTTTGATTCAACTGGTTGTGTGCGTGTGAACGAGGAGGACAAAGGAGCAGATAAATATGCGACGACGTGACACATAAAGTGGGGAGAAGTAAGATTTATCACTCAGCCCAAGGAAACCGGTCCGCTGACACCGCGTCAATGATCTAATCACTTGTGAACAACTTTCTAATGGTAGTAGAGGAAAAGGACCCATATATTATCATCAATATGTGTCAACCCCCCCCCCACGTCCATTGGTTAGTTGCATGATGTGTTGCATCCGTGATAACTCATTTTCTGAAATCAGCTAGGGTTAAAAATGCGAACAGGCATACCAGTCGAACATGCATCAAGGCTAATAGAAGTGGTGCATGAGCTGAAGTAATGCAGTGAGCACAGTTTATGTGGATCATGGGGAACTAAGAAACAACGTAATGATAGTGCCGTACCCCACAATGTGCGCGCATATATAAATGGGTTGAATGAAAATGTTTGGACCAGGCACAGAAAGCAGATAGCCAGGAAAGCCAAATGAAGTTTTTTTTAGAATCTACCAATTGAATTCATTTATTTTATGTAAAACCATAGTACTGCCTCTATTACTTTAATTTCAGCAGATCCTTGAATTAAACCAGGTCTGCAATTTGTTAACAAATGGAGAAATTGAAACACCTTGCACTGATCAAATATTCCAATCTCAGAGGAATGCCACTATCTGAAATCTACCAAGATACGCACAATACATTGCATGACAATGCCCCTTAATGTGCCACAGTTAAACGTTGGGTGTAACAGTTTAACCGTGGCACGCAGAATATTGAAAATGAGCATAGCTCAGCGAGATTATCAACCGTCATCACCAAAGAGAATCTTAGTCTAGTAATGAATATGATCATGCAAGATCGCCGATTAACAACTTGTAACGTAGCAGAGGTTGATCAACTTCCAAGAGGGAGACAGTGGATACTCTCAGGAAGGAGCTAGGCTAATCAAAAGTTTCTGCTCGATGGATGCTGTCTTTTGACTACTGAGCAGAAGCGCATTTGACATGTGATGTCAAGGAACAAGTTAGCATTATTTAAGGCAGATGCCGATGATTTTCTTGCACGACTCATCACTGTGGATGACTGTTTGGTACAGCATTTTCAACCGGAAAGAAAAGAATAATCAAAGCAGTGGGAGCGTGCATCACTTCCTACGCTTAAGTAGGCCAAAATCACACCGTGAGCTGGCAATGTGAAGAAATCCAATTTTTGGAATACCCGAGGTGTGGTGATGATTAATTCCTTGAAAATGGCCATACCATCACCGGAAAGTATTCCTGTGAGCCACTGAAACGTCGCGGAAAAAAACGAGAAAAAGGGCCAAGAAAGCTGACGAAATGAGTTATTTTCCACAACGACAATGCTCCAGCCCATAATTCTGCCATTGCTCAGAAAATAATCCACGATTGCAGCTTCCAGCTTCTTCCTCACCCACCCTATTCACCAGCTCTGAGTCAGTCTGGCTCGCATCTATTTCCAAAGCTGAAAAAAGCTTCAGCTAGCAAACGTTTTCTCAACGAAAGTGACATCATGGAAGCCGCAAAAGCGTTTCAGAGTCGCAATCTGAAGAGTTCTTTCAATGCGATAAAGGCGCTTCAGCACCGCTGGAGTCTGTGTTGCAAATGAGGGTGATAACGTTAAAAAAACTAAATTTATTTGGTCTAGGCATCCAATATCACTATCATTCGTGAGTATAGAGTATCGGATCAGCAGATAAACACACGATATTTTATCCACGTCGGAAACTCCGCAATTAACTGAGTATGCATATCTAGGCGTATTTGTGTAGTTCATGAACAACCTATTTATATATTTACTCAACAGTAAAAAATGAAGATCAAAATTCGAATTTCCAAACAGTTAAAATAAAGCCAGTAGGCAAAAGGAGGCGACAAAGTTGTGTAACGTACCTCGGAAGTATTGTTTTTGGCTCGTACACGAGGAAGAATGCTGCGAAAGAATAGCAAAGGATGGTGCATAATGGATGACGAAGCTAAGGCCCACACTGTATTCTACTTTACAAGAATCATGGATTTAGGACGAGAAACAATACACGAGGTCGGATAAGCAACTTTCTCATTTAATGTCACCTAACTCGATATAAGTACTTGGTGGCGTTTTGCCAGGCTCCATGCTAAGGTGCAGACTATTCTTGGTTTTGGCACTCTAACGAGAGTGATCGTATAAAATGTTTAACTTTTCGTCGATTTAGAGGCAAACAAGGCGGTAAACAAAAGTATGGCAGCCAGAAGCGACGTCAATCGGGCTAAGCAGCGTTCAGTGCAGATAATGGTCCAGTTAAAAAGAGCCAAGAGTAAAACGATCAAGCACGCGTTACCAGGGCATCCACGAGCATCGATCCGGCGATCGAAGTAAGCAACGCGTAGTCGATGAAAGCACTTTTGACTGGTAGAAAAGAGCTTACCTATGCTACTCAAGATAGAAAGAGAAAGTCAACCAATACTTATTGGATTCGATGCTGCCACATACCGGCAAAATCCTTAACGCAATGTAAAACGGGCAGACCGGTTTTGTCATCCGGTCAAAAGCATGTTCACGCTTGGTTTAAGAACACAATGAAAAGTGGCCAAAAATGTTAGGCGTCTAACCACACAGAATGTAGGCGACTCAGTGGACAACGTAGTACAATGGTGAATAAGATCGTTGAGAACTATAACTAGAGATGACGTCAGCTGCCGACGCAGCCACAAAAACCCACAAGAAGTCACTAGCTAGGTAAAGGAGTAGCCGCAGAAAATGATTTGCCCTTCAAATGCGTCAGTCACGGAAACCGCTTCACACCTTCGTTATCCGTAATAGTACAGGCGTCAAACACTCCATGATGCACTGTTCCATCTAGATCATGTGATTTAGGCTCGCAGCCCGTTGCGTAACTGCATAACATTCTCTCGGACATTGCTTTCTGCTTCATTCGCGGGAATGATAAAGGAAGTACAAATCTACTACAAATCAGAAACCTGTATCAGTGCGAGCCCAGCGTTGTGAAAGTGGCAATTAACTATGAGGATGTAACGTCGATTAAAAGCAGTAATTATGGAAACTATATAACGAGTGTCTAACGAACTGCATGATAGAAGCTGCATATAAAAACGCCTGACAGAAGATAAAACAATACTGTCTAGGTTATTAGGCAAAAAACTCGATAGCATCCGTGACAATGGTTCCGAAGAAAACAACCATGATTAGTCTCAGTTGTTAAGTTACATATTGTTGAGGAAGGGCAACGTGTCAACAAATACATCTCAGTTCAGTTCTACTGAACAAATACCATCCGAGCACCGGAATGCGATAAAACATATTACCAAAATAACAACAGGAAAAAGAGGTTGAACGCAAATATAATCGAAAGAAAATGGAAGCAAAAAGTGCGTTAAACTAATCGCGATGGAGAATTAACGGCTAGATGCAAAAAAGCCGAATGCAAAAACGCCAGTAACTGCACGATTGCATGATGTATGGTGGAGGCCCAAACCATTGATTTAGATGCTGGCTTGCCGAACAACTTCTTCGTTATGCCAGCTGCGGCGTTCGGGATAATTCCGTTCCAGCCAACGGTTCAGCGGAAGTGTTCCAGCACGAGGTAGGTTTACACCTGGCACATGTGTCTGTATATCAATATTGCGAAAACGACTCGCCACTAAATAAAACCACCATCTCTTGTTTCATCCCAGTGGAGCATTGTATTCCAACACACTCTTGTTGAAATCGTGGGGAGGATTCAGACACTATTTGGTAACCCACTAACCCGAATCCCCATTGACTTGCGGATGGGTTATTTAGCCAAAGGCTCGGGGTGCGGTCCCCTAAGTCGATTCCCTACTTCGGTTTGGTCAACCGGGTAATGTCACGCCCACATACAAAACATGCACTGATCTACAATGTGCTCATCCGCTACCGTTTCTGCTCTTTACATTCACGTGCCAATTGTTTGTTTGATAACAATCATTGCTACCCGTTACCAGATTTCTATGTTCTTCAATCTGCTTGTGATCTCGGTTGCACTACGAACCATGGAGTTCAACCTGTGGCTCTCCTTCGACCCCGATCTTTGTTTCGTCTGGCGTGCTTCAACGTAAGGATACTCATGCAGGTTGAACAGCAAGTCGATCTAGCAAGCACTCTAGAGTCCCAGGATGTTGACATCTGTTCTTTCAGAAACCCGACTGCAAGACCCCAGCATTGTGCTTTCGCTGACTTCCTCCATTAACCAGGAAGCCAGATATCACTTGAGTCTTTTTGGAGACAAAGAAGCAGTCTCAATAGGTTTGGCTGGTGTAGACATAGCACTAAGTGGCAAAGCCGAGGCGGCACTCCTGGATTGATTCCTGATTAACAGCCGACTGTGTGTAGTTCGCATTCCAGATTTATGTAGAATCAGGAAGCGTCGCTAGGAGAAACGCAACTTGTTTGTGATCTCCGCGTACGCTCCAACTGACTGTAGTAGTGGCTCGGAAAAGGACGACTTTTATCAGGAGCTTCATGTGCTCCTGAGTAACGCTAACAAATCGGATATCGCCGTTGTTGCTGGGGATTTCAATGTACGAGTCAGACGCCTGTTAACACACGAAGGTCACCTTGGTGGTCATTACGCACTTGACGAGGAGTGCTCAGATAACAGAAGGAAATTGCTCACACTGTGTAAAAACAACCAGGCGTTTCTCTCGAGCACCAACTTCAGACAAACGAAGAAACGTTCTGCAATTCGGAATCCCCTTCAACAACACAACCGTGATCTCGCATTGATCATATTGCAATCAGCTTCAGATGGTGTGGCAGCATACTGGACTGCAGGTTCTTTTGGTCCACTTTCACTGATCCGGACTATGCGATGGTCGAATTGAAAATCTGCATGTGTTTTGAGTGTCCCGAAAATCGAAACACCGCAAGAGTGATGCGGAAAGATTAACTGATGCCTCGAGCCAGGCGAACTATCAATCTTCACTGGCATACGCACTCAGCTGCGATGCACCGCAAGACATACAGCAATACTGGACTTGTATACAGAAGACGGTGACCACTTCCGGACAGTCAAGCTGCGGCCTAGCCCGACGCCCCTTAAAGACTTGAATATCTGTTCGTCCTCTGGAGCTGTTTGACGGCCGCAGAAATATAAAGGCAGAACAAGACTGCAATGAGCGGCGCCACTCTGTCAATCGGCTGCTCAAGCAAAGCCTACGCAAGGGTCGCGAGGCATGGTGGTCTGAGCGTGCTTTAGTGATGGAGACTGCTGCCCTCTCTGGCAACATGCGCAAGCTATTCCAGCTAATTCGGCCCTTTGGCTACAAAAAGTCAGGTGTCAGTTAGGTCGTTTGCAACGCGGATGGGTCTGATGTTTGGGTCGTTGGGTTGGGCACTTTCACTCGCTTGCAGCAAAAAAGCTGCGTTTCTCACCTCTAACTAACGTGCATAATGTAGGAATGGATGACCACTCACAATCCAAATGGCCTTCGTACATCGGTGCACGCAGTACAACAGCTTGTTGCTTACCATAGCTCGCCACACTGTATACACAAAGCGAAGCGGAAGTTTGCCTTAAGATGAAACGTTTGAAGTGATTCAAGACTGCTGGCTTAGACGGAAGTCCTCCGAAGTTGTTCAGGTATGGCGGCATGACAACTAGTAACAATGTAACCTCGCTGTTCTCTAAAATCTAGCATGAAAAAAGTGCTTCCATCTTAAGGAGAATCGGCTACTGTCCCGAGTTTCAAGAAAGACGTTCGCACTTCAAGTGTCAATCATTGCAGGATTAGTCTAATTTCGGTTTCTTTAAAGCAGTTGGTATCTATTCGGCTTCGCAGACTATCCCCAACTGTGCCTTTGTGAAACGATGCACATATAATGCTAAAAGAAGACGTTGTATGTCCCGAAATAATGACACTAGTACAAATTCCTAACCGAACAAGGATAAATGGCTAACGGACCAGACACAACTGCTGATGATTCACAACTAAATGTTTTGATTTTTCGTAATTCGATAGAGTTGTATAGAAACCTTTATACTTGCTCTTAAATACAGTCTCAGGCTCAATACGTGAATCATCATACCGTGAAGAACAATCTGGCTTCCGTCGCGGTTTTGGATGTGTGGATCAAATCTTCACGCTCTGCCAACTCCGCGAACATGGCCACATTTAACACAGGCCCACTATCATCGCATTCCTAGACATACGAGCTGCATTCGGCTCGGGTGATCGACATGCTTTATGCCGTTGCTTACTGAAGAATGGAGTGCCAAAGAAGTAAACCGCCATCCTACGCGCACTTCATCTTCATAACTCCGCAAGAGTGAGGGTCCGTGGTAAGCTTTCCTTGCTCTTCGCTGTCAATAGCGGTGTGCAACATGGTCGCGGCTGAAAGCGACGTCGCGATGGTCAATATTCCACTTGGTGAGAGCACATAATATCGCTGACCCACGTTTAGCAGTCGCTGGACCCGTAAATCTTCCAGGATAGGGAACTACGGATGAGGAGTGCCAATGGCTTAACACGTTTGAAGATATAGCCCCAACGGGAATCATTGGAAGAATTGTATACATCAATGTAATAATTCACATATTTATGCGTCAAAAAATAAAAACGACAAAATAGGACAGGTAGGTGAGTGAAAAACAAACTAAAAATGTTCTGCCCCATTTTAGTCACATTGAGCTGGCATTTTATTCCCAAGGTTTTCTAGATGGTTTCATGTCTATAGCTTGGACAGCTGATGAAATAATAATAACCTCCGGAGAGGGTTGTGAGACTGAGTTTGTCTGAAGCATAAGGTTTACTTGCCTAACATGAGTGGTACTGATGTGCCACGCAGCGTAGTTCAAAGGATTACGGAGTGGAGCAAGCCACTGCAAAACGTTAAGGCGCGATGATCAGAAAGTACACACTGGTACCAAGTTACCGTAAGTTGGAGAAGCAAAGCCACTGGGCAGTAAATAT